CCGCCGGCCACCCGAAAGGGATATCAATCCCAAAAAAATCCTCCAAGACGGCTCAAGATGGACTCCAAGATGGCCAGGTTGGCCCAAGATGGCCTCCACGATGGTCCAAGATGGCCTCCAAGTCCACCCAAGATGGTCCAAGACGGCCTCCAAGATGGCCCAAGAGAGTCCAAGATACCTCCAAGTTCGCCCAAGAAGCCTCCAAGACGGCCCAACACGATCCAAGAGGTCTCCAAGAGGTTCTCCAGGAGGGCCCGAAGAGGCCAAAATCATTGGTTTCCCGTAGGTTTTTGGAGGATTCTGGCATTTGTTTCTTCTCGGCATTCCGACAGCTCAAGACGGCCCAAGAAGCCCCCAAGATCGCCCCAAGATCGCCCAAGAGGCTGCCAAGATGGCCCCATGACGGCCCAAGAGGCCCCCAAGACCGCCCCAGGAGGGCCCCAAGACGGCCCAAGAGGCCTCCAAGATGCCCAAGATGGCCTCCAAGACGGCCCTGGAGCACTCCAAAAGGGCCCCCAATCGGCCTCAAGAGGCCCCCAAAATGCTTCCAGGACGGCCCAAGATGCACCCAAGACTGTCCAAGACAGCCTCGAGATAGCCCATGACGGCCCTAGAGGCTCCCAAGAGGCCTCCAAGACGGCCCAAGAGGCCTCCGCCAAAATCATTGATGTTCCTTAGGTTTTTGAAGGATTTTGGCAATTGCTTCTTTTCAGCCTTCCGACGGCCCGAGACGGCCCAAGAGCCCCGAAAGATCGCTCAAGCGGCCTCCAGGACGGCCCCAGAACGGCCCAAGAAGCCCCCGAGACTGCCCCAAGGGGGCCCCCAGACGGCCCAAGAGGCCTTCAAGCCAGCCCAGGGAGGCCCCTTATGACAGAATCGGACATGCCAGAGAAGCTCTGAGACGGCCAGAGAGGCCCCCGAGCAGCACCGAAACGCCCCCAACAGGCCCAGAGAGACCCACAAAATGACTCCCAGAGGCTCCCGAGATGCCCCCTCTTTCTCCTCCTCCTCCTCCTCCTCCTCCTCCTCCTCCTCCTCCTCCCTCGTCCCTCGTCCCTCCTCCCTCCTCCATCCTCCCTCCTGCCTCTCCTCCTCCTCCACCTCCTCCTCCTCATCCTCCTCCTCCTCCTCCTCCTGCTGCTCCTCCCTCCTCCTCCTCCTCCTCCTCCTCCTCCTCCTCCTCCTCCTCATCATCCTTATCCTTATCCGTATCCTCACTCTCCTCCTCCTGATCTTCCCCGCCATCCTCCCCCAAGTGTTCCCCGAAGGGTTTCCACAACGGATTGGGGAACACACAGTCTGATAACTTGGCAGAGTTCTTGCCACAACGCTCGGACACATGGGCGATGTCAAACCTGTTGCTCCCCCACGCGTTCCCCGAAGGCTGTTCAAACCAACTCGGGGAACACCTTGCCCGATAGCCTGGCCAAGCTCTAGCCCAGCTGTCGGCAACATAGGCGCTTCCACAAGGGCAGGGGGCGGCGGTGATTCGCCGCATGCGTCTTTGATACTGCTAAACATAAGCATTAAAAGCATTCGTACGATTAGTGAAATTACGCGCCTCTCACGATCCCCCTTCCTCGTCGCCCTTCTCCTGCACCTCAGCGTCACATTCCTCCATGCTCCTAATCACATCTCAACAACACCAGCAGCAGCAGCACCATCATCGTCAGCATCATCATCGTAATCATCAGCATCATCAGCAGCAACGTCAGCAACATCAGCATCATCAGCATCAGCAGTATCATCATCATCAGCATCAGCATCATCATCGTCATCATCATCATCAGTAGCAGCATCATCAGCATCATAATCATCAACATCGTCAGCAGCATCATCATCATCATCACTATCGTCATCATCTGCATCATCACCACCACCATCACCGATACCGGCATCGCCAGTATCTACATCATCATCACAATTAGCATCATCCACATCGTCGATATCATCATGATACCCATAATAAGCGTAAACAGCAGCATCATCAGATCATCAACAGCATCATCAGCAGCATCATCAGCATCAACCTCAGCATCATCATCAGCAGCAGCATCAACCTCGTCAACATCAACAGCAGCATCAACATCAGCAATAACAGCATCGTCGTCCCCATCATCACCATAATCATCATCTGTACGTTCATCCGCATCATCAGCGGCATCCACAACATCAATACATCCATCACTACCACCACCGGTATGATCATCATCAGCATCGCCATCATCAGCATCATCATCATAATCAGCAGCATCAGCCTCACCATCGTCATCATCATCATCAGCAGCAGCATCGTTGTCAGCATCAGCAGTATCATCATCAGAATCATCATCTGCATTATCATCATCATCATCGTCATCCTCATCATCCTCATCAACAACATCATCGTCATCCTCATCACCATGATCATCATCATCCGCTTCATGCTCATCAGCAGTAAGATCAGAATCGTCATCTTCATAATCATCATCATGCGTATGCTCAGTTTCAGGATCGTCATCATGCTCATCATCATCATCATCATCATCATCATCATCGTCCTCATCAGCGTCATCGTCATCATCATCGTCGTCATCAGCATCATCGCCATCGTCATCAGAAACGTCATCGTCATCGTCACTAGTTTTGTCACCGTCTACGCATCACCATCATCAGCAGCAGCAACATCACTCGCCTTATCATAATAAGAATCATCAGCAGCATCATCATCACCAACCTGCTAATCAGCATCACAGCCAGCAGTAACAACATCCTCCTCATCAGAAGCATCATCAGTAGCAGCATAAGCATCAGCATTATCATCGTCATCACCATCATCGCCATGAGCGTCTTCATCCTCATCGAAATCAAGATCCTATCATCACCGTCACCAGCATAATCAGTACCGCAATCAGCATTACCATCGTCGTTATGTCGTCATCTTCATCGTCGTCATCATCACGGATCGTCATCGCCAATCCCATGACAACCCTCTTTCTGATACGCGCACCCATCCACGACCAAGCCCCATCACCGCAATCCTCCTCCCTCCTGCACATCTCATCCATCTGCTCCGTCATCGACACTTCCGTCATCGCCACCTTTCTTCCCCTAGAGCAGATGCCAAGTGCCCACTGACGCGTCCCATCCTCGCCCCCTTCCCTCATGCTCATCCCCCGCTCATATGGCGGGTTCTGGAGACCCTGAACCCAGAAGTGGTGTGGCCTCTTGGGGGCGCATCTTTTGCTTCCACCGCCTTCCGCCAGCCTTCCGCCCCCATTCAGCCAGGGAAGAGGTAACAACTCCTTCGACCCTCGAAGGCGAGACCATTGCTGGAACGCCTCGTATCGTGCTCATGCTCCTCCGCTTCTCATCCCGCCTCCCCCATCCTCGTCCCCAGCTCGGCATGCCTCCTCACCCTTTCCTCGTCCACCTCATCGCCAGGCAGGTGCTGCAAGATGCCCCGTGCGCTCCACCTCTGCTGTGCGCCGCATCCTATGCCTCCGACGAAGCGTTTCTTATGACGCTGGGAGAATAAAAAATACCGGTACCGATACCTCCTGGACCTCTCCCATGGTGCATTCTGCCCCCAGCTTCCAAGCAAATCCAGCCGTAGCGACGTGAGCCTTACAGCAGGCCCAAAAAGGCGAAAACCTGGGAAGCTTAGCGGTGTCGGCACCTTTTCCTCATCTGACTCCCGAACCCATCTCTGGGACTGGCTTGCCCATCCTGAGCTATTTTCTGACAGTCATCGGGGACTCAGAAACAGCGCCCCGAGCCCAAAACCGAGGATGAAAATGACGCCCGCCGCGGTCTTTGTCGCCACACCGCATATGATGGCTGGACGTGCCTGGCTGAGTACCGTTTAACCGATCCCTATCCCCACTGGCATGGACTAGGCCCCACTGGCCGACTCAACCTCCTACGCGGGGATATGTGCTGCTCCTCCCCGCGGCTTTCGTGGGACCTATGCCCACCTAGGCGAATGACCTGGCGTGGCTGAGATGCCATGGCCTAATGTCGGCGGCGCGCCCGGGGGGAAGTGAGAAGGAGAGTGTCTTCTGAAAGGTCCGGCAGTCCTCCGGCCGTCTGAGAACTGTTCTGAGCCTTCCCCGAAGAGAGAGAGAGAGAGAGGACCCCCCCCAAAAGAAAACCCTCAGAAGGCGGGAGGCCTTCTGAGAAGCCCCACCGCCTTCTGAGAAAGCACCGCGCCGCCTCCTGAGAAGGCCCCCCCTTCTCGCTCCCCCCCTCGCTCGCCGCCGAACCTCGGCCGGCGGGGAGGGGGAGCCGTGCGGCGGTGCTGCCTGGCCTGCCCCCGCCCTCGCCGGGCCAGGAGAGGTCGGGTCGGATCGGCACGCACTTGCAGTCGGGGCGTTGACCTAAGGAACCCTAAATCAGGAACGAGGCCCCTTTGTTCCATAAGTTGAACTTCGACTTCCCATGGAAAACCTCAGGGAGAACCCGAGGCAAGCTTTGAAACCATCAAGGGACACCGAGCCCCTCCCCAACGAAAAGGGTTCCTTCCTCAGCGCCCCGATTGTAGCGTCGGGCTGCATCGCATCGGAGTCGGCATCGACTCGGCTCGGCCGCGCCATAGGGTGCGCAACGACGCCCTGCGGGCATCGGCATCGGGCCACAGCGGATCGTCGGAGGTCCCATAGCCGCATCGGAGCGGCCCGACCGAAGACGAGCTCGACTCGGATACAGTCGGGGCGTTGACCTAAGGAACCCTAAATAAGGAACGAGGCCCCTTTGTTCCATAAGTTGAACTTCGACTTCCCATCGAAAACAGAAGGAAAACCTGAGGCAAGCTGAGAAACACTTACGGAACACCGAGCCCCTCCCCAACGAAAAGGGTTCCTTCCTCAGCGCCCCGACTGTATCGGATCGACCAAATCGGCATGGGCCATGGCTCTGGTCTTGCAGACGGGCTGCGAGGAAATCGACCTGGTCTCCTTGCACAGGAGACACCCTGAACGGCGAGCGGAAAGCGCAGTGGAAGTCACGTGGAGCTTCAAGCCTCAAGTACCGAATAGCAAACAACAACACGTTCGAAACTTACAACTACATCCGGAATGAAATTCGATCGAAATCCGTTCTGCGAAATCCCTGCAGGCCGCAGGCCCTACCGTCAACCCGGCCATCGGCTTCCAGTTCACCCTGGACAGGAAGTCGTCTGGGTACTCCGGGTGCGGGTCCACCGCGCTGGCGGTGTTGATGTCGATGGGAGAGCGGCCCGTCGCGGCAGTGGATCCTGGTAGATGCTCGGGCGAACGCCGACATGGATTGAGGATCCGTGGCTCTCCTCGTCTTCCTCTTGAACCTCGCTCTTTGCCTGCTGTCTTCGCCCAGGCCCCCTTCCGCCTGCTCCTCCCCCTCCTCATCCTCCTCCTCCTCATCCTCCTTCTCCTCCTCCTCCTCCTCCTCGACCTCCTCCTCCTGCTCCTCATTCTCCTCCTTCTCCTCATCCTCCTCCCTCCATCTCCTCCTCCTCCTCCTTCTCCTCCTCCTCCTTCTCCTGGGGAACCTGAGGGTCCTCGATAGCTCGCCAAAGCGGCGCCCCGCTTCTTCACTCCGCCCAGGCTGTGGAGCTAGGCGGAGAAAAGCACACGGCGGCGAGGGCGACCAAGAAGGGGGCGTCCAAGAGGATGCTGGATGCTCGCAAACCACGGCCATGCGATCCGGGAAGATATCATGGCCCGGGCATTGGTGATCTGCCCTCAGGAGGCTACTTCTGGGGGGTCTTCCGTAAGCCTGATTGAGGGGCCATTGAGCCGTATGGAGCAAGATTGAGCTCGGGATTCGCCCACACGGGAAAGGATCAAGCGGGATTAAGCCAGATTGAGCTAGATTCGACCAGCTTAGACGCGTTTTCGACCAGGGATACACCAGCGCCGATTCCGAATTCGACTTCCAAGGGGTTGCACCCTAACCACCCTCCCTGTGGGGAAACCAGGAGGTACCGATACCGCTGCACCCTGGACCTCTCCTGGGGAGCGTTCTGACCAGAATTTCGAGGCGAATTCAGCGGTGACGACGAGGACCTCCCAGGAGGCCCAACAAGACGAAAACGAGGGAAGGGTCGCGGTATGGGCACCTTTCCCTGCCTTGACCTAGAGATCACACCCCTCCTGGACGTTCCCGAAAGGCGCCGCGTCGCATGGAGGTGGCGGCGGCTCCGCACTCGTTCACGGGCAGCTCGAACTTCGGCCAGCAGCTGACGAAGTCGTAGCTGTAGCTGACGCCGTGCTCCACCGAGACGTCGCACGCGCTGCCGTCCTGAGAGCAGGCGCGCGTGGCCGGGAGCAGGGAGGGGGAACCCTCGTCGAAAGAGCAACTCAGTGGGGAAGGGGGCTGAAGAGGAGGAGGAGGAGCAGCAGGAGGACCAGCGCCCACGATATTGAAATCAACTCTCCCTCCAACTCCATCTTCGTAGGCCTCTACAAGGTTCATCTTCACTGAGGGAAGTGCCCCGTTGGAACATGAGCGTTTGAAAATCCTGAACTGCGCAAGAACACCATTCCTGGGACTTCAGCGCCACGAACCACCGTTACAATTACGTCTTGACGGTCCTGGATCGTACCAGAAGGCCGTTCATGGAACGTCAACACTGCGAATCAACGTGACCGTTGCGCCCTTTCAGTCCGACATAGTGCCAAAACACCATTGCCGGGACGGTAGCCACGAGAATCCTTCAAACAAATTTAAGCTCTCAACACGCACCCTCCATCCGTGAACCACTTGCATGTTTTATACAACGAATATGCACTGTGCTAAGGCGAGAACCACATTCTGTAAAGGAGCTGCCCTCCATCCGTGAACCTGTTGCATGTTTTGTAAATCGAATGCGCACGGTGCTAAGGCGAGAGCTACATTCCGCAACGGAACCACCCTCCATCCGTGAACCGCTTGCATGGTTTGTACAGCGATGGTGCGCGGTGCTGAGGCGACACCCACACATTTTGAAAGCGGGCTCAGTCACTGAAAATGCCGCAACTCTTCAGCTTAAGGATCATACATGGTAGGGAAGTCTCAAGCGAAACGCCCGGCCCACCCTACTGACAGGCCTCGGGAAGTGTCAGGGCAGGCTTATCCAACAGGAAACGGTGTGGAGGAGGGCGTGCCAGCCGTCTGGCCGCTCGGAGACTGGGCTCGGCTCAGCCGCGAGACTGAATCACTTCTACGAGACTTCTACGAGACGGCGAACATCCGGCCAGTGACCAACGCGGAGATTGGGCTAAACAGCGCGCGTCGGAAGACTCGTGGAAATGTAGGACGTTGCCATGCTAACAAGCCTCTCTCGGCCGCCATCGACGTCGTCAAGGACGACATGCCCGACGAAATCCAGCGAGACGTTGACGTGCTCATCGAGGGCACGATGTGCGAGCCGGGCTTCGGGGCTTCGAGGTTGCGCTCATCTGTTTGAACGTCGACGAGGTAAGTGGCACAGGTGGCAGCCATGCTGAGCGTCTACCTGGGCGCCGATGTGTACCTGAACATGGTGTCTTACTTGAGGACCCTTCTGTGCTTCAGGACTATCCTGCACTTGATGGGCCAGCAGGCGATCATCGAGACGCTGAGGGTGACCGTGCTGCTTGAGGCTCTCTTTGAGAAGCTGGTGATCTTCGTGACGACCGCGCTGACGGTGGCGACCTTAGAGACACGGGTAGCGATCATGTTGCTGGAGGCGTTCACATTGCTGGTGATGATCCTCGGGACCCTGGTAGTGCTCCTGAACGACAGGATGGAGGAGCAGGAGTACGTGCTCACGCTTTCGGGTGGCAGAGAGCAAGGATGATTCCGAGGGCACGGAGGGAAAGGAGGAGTCCGAGGGCATGGAGGGCAAGCAAGACGGCGAAGGGCTCTTTCCCGATGCTTGGCTACGCCTCTGCGCTTGGCATGCCGGTGCCAGCTCGGGCCAACTCGTTCGCCTTGGCTTGCACCTCGACCGTGCCGAGACAGCTCGTCGTCCTCACGGCGAACTCCACGCAGGTGGAGCTTGGTGACCTGGATCACACGTCGTGCTCCATGCAAAGGGCTGATGGGAGCGAGGAGTGTGAGGATGACGGCAGTGGTTTGTCCGCGGATTCTGATGACACCGAGTATCAAGTAGTGGGTTGGGAATGCAGGCTGGTCATCTCGGGTCGGGGGAAAGGGGGGATAGCAAAGGGGGGGTTTGAGAATCAGCTCACGTAGCTGATTTTCCCGGCGCCTCCCGGCGCCGGAGGCGGCCATGTATCGAGGAATGGGCCCCTCGGTGGGGCCGAAACCAGCTGCATGCAGCAGATTTCGTAACCCCCCCTTTCCCAATCCCCCCCTTTCGCCCGGCCCGATCATCCTGGAGAGGATGCTTGCAATCGCGAAGAAGATTTACAAGATCAAGTACGGCTGGGACGTGGACTTGAGGGATGGGGATACGACGGGTACTGTGGGACAGTGAGGCCGCCAGTTCAGTACCTCTCCCAGCTCTCGTCTTCGAGCTCCGAGGACGTCGGGGCTCGTGCGGCAACTCCGCCAGCGCCCGTGCGCCTCCGACTCACCCGGGCCAGCCACGTCACGTGGCATGTTCCAGAAGCCCCGAACCCCGACAGGGTGCCAGCTCTCGGAGGGCCGACGCTTGCTCCCGCCAGCTTCCGCCGGCCTTCGTGCGGAGGCGCCCTCGCTCCCTTTCCGCACAAGCCACTGCCCCCTCTCGTCCACAGCTCTGGAGGCCTAGCGCTGGGCTGGTAACACTGTCCACCAAAGCCAGATCCCCAAGCAGGCGTCGGCGCAATCAAACTTGTCCGAGCGGAGCCCCAGAGATGCACAGGGCTGGACCGAAGCCAAGGGCGAGCCCAAGAGGACGCCTCGATCCCAACACCGCGCACCCCATCCTCCGGGGGGGGTGGCACTGCGAGGCAGGCCCCCCGAGCCCCTCTTGGCCCCGGGGGGCCGACGGCCACTCACGGAGCCCACAACCCCCCCCCGCAGAAACGTGAAGTACCACCCCCTCGAGAGGAGCGAAAAAACTGGGTCAAAACTGTCTGGTGCGAGCTACTGGGCCTCGTCAGGGCCCTCATTTCTTCTGGCGCTTGGAGCTCTTCGCCTCGCCCTTGGAGCCCCTCTTGCCCCCGTGGAACGCCAGCCTCTCCAGCCTCCACGCCCTTCCGATCCACTTCCGCCAGCTTCCACCAGCCTGCCGCCGCCTCCTGCCGAGGAAGAGAGGTCAACCTTTCGATCCCTCGAAGGCGAGGCCCTGTCTTTTCTGGAGCGCCCCCTCTGTTACTGCTGGCTTCGTGTCTGCATCCAGGCGTCGCAACATCCCGACACCCGACTCGATGATTCAGCGCGGACACCTGGAGGTCTCGACCCCTTTCCCCGGGACCAGCGGTTCGTCCCGACTTTTCTGAAGAGGCTATGGGACACACAAATGAATACACACAAACAAAAGATTCCCCATGTTTTAATCTATTTTCTAAGTTTTGTCTTCCCCCCCACTTCCCATATTTTCCCAATATTTTCCTGGGGATCGACGATTAATTGTGTCTGTGTGTTTTTCCCCCTCCTGATTTTCTTCGACCAGGCCCTGGAGGGGCCCCGGAGGCCGGCGACAATACAAAAACCTTTCCGTCGTGATTTCTCCTCGCGACGCGCGGGGGCCTGGGCCTGGCGCTCAGACATCGACCCGCAGACCTCTCCTGGGGTGCGTTCTGGCCAGAATTTGGACGCGAACCCGGCCGTGGCGACGAGAACCCCCCCCCCCAGAGGCCCGACAGGCCTCGGCCCTCGAAGCGCGAGGCTCGCAGTGCGAGGCTCCTGATCTTCCCCGCGGCGCGAGGGGATCCGGGTGGCTCCCCGGCGCCTGGCGCAGCCCGCGCACGGGTCCCCCCGCGGAGCAGGCGTGCCGACGGGCGGCCGTCCTTGTCCACCGCGAAGGCGGGCAGGGAGCCCTGCCAGATGCTCGGCGTCGCGACCGTCGCCTGGGACGAGTCCATGCCGGACACCTCGGGGCCCGTGGGGCGACGAGATCTGTTGAAGGGGCCCTGGGACACACAAATAAATACACACGAATAAAAGGATTCCCCATATTTTCCTATATTTTCTGGGTTTTTGTCTTCCCCCCCACTTCCAATATTTTCCCACATTTTCCTGGGAGTCGACGATTGATTGTGTCTGTGTGTGTTTTCCCCTCCTGATCTGTCCATACCCACCGCCGCTGGCTGGGCCCAGCGGCGGTGGATGTGTGTGGACCTCGTCGCCCTGGCCCGACCCGCTCAGCTCGGGGCGGCGCTGCGGCGGTCGACGGTCAGGAACTTGTTGCTCAGCGCGTCGCGGCGGCGGCCACGGCGACACGCTATGCCTTGCGAGTGGGTAGCGCGTCGCGACGCCCTGTGGGGCGGGAGGCTCGGGAAGGCTCGGGACGTTGACGCACGGGGACCAGGACGTGGGCAGCGTGTCGCTTCGAAGCGTGGTGGGGCAGAACCGGCGGAGCGACACGCTATCGAAAAATTCCCGACCTCAAACTCGCCTGGCGGCATCTGGAAAGAGCGGCAATCCCTGTGGATGGCCATCGTCTGCTAGGAGCTCATCATTGGCGTGCCCATGGGGCGCTCGAGGGACCACAGGGCCACCAGAACCAAGAATACAAGCAGCATTGTAGCATAAACTGTCGGAGGTCCGCGCGGATCTCCAGGATCGGCACTGGATCCCCATCCCTGGCGCGCGGAGCGCGCCAGGGGCGGCGCCGAAGGCGCCGCCAGGGACTCCAGCGCCGATCCCAAAAATCAAGGCGGACCTCCAAGAGCTTGTATGAAATTACCCCAGCATCCTCCAGAAATGATAGGGAATCCATGGTTTGTCCCTCCTCGCCCTTCAACTTCCGAAGAGCCTCCGAGGTCTCCAGATGACCGCAAGATCGCCCCAGGAGAGGTCCCGAAGAGGCCGAAGATGACGCCTAGAGTGTCCCGAGAGTCCTCATCCATCCGCCTCCTCCTCCTCCTCCTCCTCCTCTTCCACCTCCTCCTCCTCCTCCTCCTCCTCCTCCTCCTCCTCCTCCTCCTCCTCCTCTGTCCTCCTCCTCCTCCTCCTCCTCCTCCTCCTCCTCCTCCTCCTCATCCTCATCCTCATCCTCATCCTCATCCTCCTCCTCCTCATCCTCCATCCTCCATCCTGCTCCCCCCCCGCATCCTCCCCGTCCTCCCCCCCCTAACGGTGGCGACGACGACGGCGACGGGGACGCCGACGACGCCGGCGATTGCGACGACGGCGGCCTCCGAATTCCTCTCCAGAAGCCTCTGAAGTCCAGGGAGGTCCCCACAGGCCCGAAGGCGAACAAAAACGCACCAAAAGCCCGACCCACGGACCTACTTCTTGGGTGTTGCCAGAGGCGTCCCTGGCCCAAGGCCTCTCCAGGACTTCCCAGGAGGCCCAAGGGCCTCCAGAGAACCCCCCACGAGGCCCCAGGGGCCCCAGGGCCTCCGACATGGCGCGAAAAGCTGGGGGCACCCTGGGCCAGGGACCCCTTCAGCAATCCCCGAGCATCCTCGGACGACGACGACGACGACGACGACAACGACGACGACGACGACGACGGCGACGAGGACGACGAGGACGACGAGGACGACGACGACGACGACGACGACGACGACGACGACGACGACGACGACGACGACGACGACCACGACAACGACGACGGCGGCGGCGGCAGCGGCAGCAGCGGCGGCGGCTGCAACAACGGCGGCGGAGCAGAGCGCCCGGTGCGGCCGCGCCTGCAGGGCCAGGGAGTTCAGCTGGGTCGCGGAGACGCTCATGGGCTTGCCGGCCACGAGCCAGCGCGCGCCCCAGGCGGTGCAGGCTGGGCAGGGGGGGGGTCCCAGGCCACCCCTCGCGTGTCCTCGCCGAGAGCTGTCCTCGAAGATGGCCTCGGGGTCTGAAGATGGCCCCAGGGCGCCCGCATTACCGCACAGTTACAGCAGGAGCTAAACCACGAGAAACCTTCCACAAGAAGCCCAAGCCTGAAACCCCAGGACGTCCACTGATGTTTGGTGTGGACGTCACGCTTCCAAAATCATCGAAACCCAAGAAATCCAGGGCACCCTCGAGGCAAGCAGGGTGTTTCTGGGCATGGGTGTCCACTGTACCACACAGCTACCCGCCGTGCTCATGCCCCACATCCTAGAAAGCAACTCACGGAAGCCTTTGGTTGTCCCCTATGGTTCCCTACGGCGCGCCCAGTCGCTCGCAAAGCGGACATGCTGAGTCTCCCTCACATGGTGCCGTTGAGCTTTACTGGACGCTGTTTGGCGCTCTTCGGGGCTATTCACCATCTCGGAGACCCCCTCGCGTCGCGAAGCAAACGCGACGGAGAACTCTGCCTCTGGGGGGCCCTCGCTGGGCCCCGAGAACATCCACAAACGACTCAGGACGAAAACCTGGTCCCAGGGAATGGGTCGAGACCTCTGGAGGCCAATTTTGTGAAACAGATATGGCGTCGGGGGTCTGGTGGGGGAGGCGAGGCTGGCCCGGATCTCCGACGATCTCGCGGCTCCGTTGGGGGCTCCGACCTACGCCACCGTCGCCGCCTCCGTGGGCTCCTACGAGGCGCTGTGGAGGCGAGGGTAGCGCAGATCAAGGCGAGACCTCGCGGCTCCCCGGGGGCTCCATCGCCACCTTCGTGGTCCTCTAGGTGGCTCGGCAGAGAGTGGCGGCTGCCGCCTGCGCAGCCGTCGCCACCTTCGTGGGCTCCTGGGAGATCCTGCAGGAGGGGCGACCTGCGCACACCCAGACATGACCTCGCGGCTCCCTGGGAGGCTGACGCCTGCACAGCAGTCGCCACTTTTGCAGGATCCTGGGAGGCCCAGCGGAGTGACGTCACACGCACGCCTAGACTAGGTTGGGCGGCGCGCCCAGGGGGGAAGTGAGAAGGAGAAGGCCTTCTCAGAAGGCTCGGAAGTTCCCGGGACTTCTGAGAAGTTTTCCAAGCCTTCCCCGAGGACAGAATAAACTTCTCAGAAGGCCAGAGGCCTTCTGAGAAGTCCCGCCGCCTTCTGGGAGGGCCTTCGCCTTCTCATTTCCCCCCCTCGCTCGTCTCCGATAGGCTCGACAGCTCTCTGGGAGTGCTGCCACCTACGTGCTGGTTGCTCGCGCGAAACGCTGGCCACCAGGCTCGAATCGCTGTCAGCAGCGGAGAGGCAGCCGACCAGCGACAACCGACTCCAACAACCCAGCTGACTCTGGGATCCAAAAAAACAACCGTCCCTGGGTTCACAGGGACAGCTGTCCCCAGGATCCCGAGGACAGATACCCCTGGGATCCGGGGATGGGTGCCCCCAAGATCCGGGGACACTTCGGGGACACCTGTCCCCAAATTCCGGGGAAGGGATAGCTGTAACTTACATGAGAGGTGATAATTAAGGCCCAGCCAAACCGGGCCAGAAAAGGGGGAGTTGCTGCGTGTCGCTGCGTACTGCTGCCTGCTGTTGCCTGCTGATGCCTGCTGATGTCTGCCTGCTGACAGCTTCCTGGTGTCTGCTGCTGACAGCTGCCCACCGCTGCTACCTGCCGGCCTGCTGCTGCCTGCTGCTGCCTGCTGCTGCCTGCTGCTGCCTGCTGCTGCCTGCTGCTGCTGCCCTGCCTTCCTGCGGCACACTGCTGCTGCCGGCGGCAGATGCTGCTGTTGCTGCTGCTGCTGCTGCTGCTGCTGCTGCTGCTGCTGCTGCTGCTGCTGCTAACCTGCTGTGTGATGCATGTAACTGGGATCCAGGTACTGCCGACTCCAAGCTCCCATCCCGGGCGCCAACCAGCAGGCAGCCGACTGCAGGCAACAGCAGCAGCTGAGTTGAAGCGCTCATTGCGAAAGCATTGCCCCAGGGCCCCTTTGGCCATAGAGAGGCATTCAGTTTTAATTCTGGTCGTTTGAAATTCCAGCCACGAACGACAAATATAATGCCGTGCCGACGGGGGGGAGGCATGTTCACCACACGGAAAAATGAGCGCCCTGTACCGCATCACTCCGCCCAATGTAATTTTGATGGCACGTTGCGCTCAATGTCGCGCAACCACCCATTAAACGCGGACCTACTGCGATCGCCACTTGTTGCACACGGGTTGGGCACGTCCCAAATAATTCATTTCAAAACAGTCGTCCTTCTTCGATTTCGGGTTCATGCGGTCTGTTCCTCGGGCCCCGGGGCCATCAACAATGAATACGAAAAGAAACCGAGACTCGACGCCGAAACTCGAGGAAACGGTCGGGATTCCTGGGGCCGTGCGTTGCAAGAATATAATGTTCAACAAAAAAACATCGTCGGATGTCTGGGGCGAGAGGGAAACTCCGAAGTCGCGCGCGTCCCGCTGGAATGCCGTTCGTGCCCACCGAAGCGCGTCGCGGAGGCCGTGGCCTCACACCGACATGCTACCCAACACGGGCCCCAACTATGTTGTTTTCTGAATTACACGTTGAGCACTATATACTGAATTTGTATGATGCGCAGTCGACCTGATGCAAGATGTGGAATTCATGTGGTGCAGTTTGTGGCGCAAGTAATTCTTATTCGCAGTGGGCTGCCAACTCCACTGCTCACGCCATCATCCCACCCACCAACCCGCATCTTAGTTTGCAAAGCCATTGCGCGGCGATTGCGATAACTGCTTGGCGCTGGCTGGCGCATCGATACAACCGCGCTAGCGCGCACAGTTTCGCGCGCAGAACGGCCAGCTACTCTGGCGCGACCGACGCAGACGCGGTGGCGCTGACCGCTGGGGATCCCCCAGAGCGTGTCGGAGGCCGCGCTGTCGCGCGCGCACTTCAATGCAAGTCTGTGATTCGGAAGGGCGCGGTACCATGGCGACGTCCACAACGGCGGAAGACATGATGATGATGGTAGCGATGCTGGGGACGACGACGACGACGACGACGACGACGACGACGACGACGGCAAAGCCAATGACGGCGCCGGTGCTGATCACGCCGATGACGGTGATGGCGTCCATGTGTCGGAAAGTCAGGCTTTAGAAAGAGTTCGATCTGCGCGCACGATCGACGAGCGCGAATGGCCCGCATGTTCTCATTTGTCGGGGGTCGTGCCCCCCCCCCAACACGCGAGCAAGAGCGTCATACTGATTCCGACATGCGCGCGCAAGAGACCCGCTTGGCGCAGTTGAAGAAAATGTGTAAGCACATCGCTTTCAAAAAAAATCGCAAAGGCGCGGGCGCTGACTTGTTTGGTAAATCATGCTGCCACACCACAGGTGTTTTATGTGTTCGGGAGCATCGATACTGACATCCGATATTGGAATCCGTGCGAAACCGTGAGGTGTTTGAAGAATGGAGGCATGCGCGCGCGACGACGCGCGTGCGGTTTTGCCACACCTTGCACAAGGGATTGTTAAAATAGGTGGTGCTTGATCGACGAGATCGCGCGCGTCATATCATTTGCAGGGAATGGAAGGGGGGAACCCAGCCTGGCTGGGATGGTATAAGTTCATTTGTTCAAAATGGACGGTGGACCAGAATATGATAAATTTGTCAAACCCCCAGGGGAGATGATAAGACCAGGGGGAGATCCTTACTGTCTTTTTGAAAGGAAAGCCGACGCGGAGCAACCTACGCAGTGCAACTCACCCTGTCGAACTTGAGATTGTCAATGCCACTGCTCGCGCAATCACCCGCAACTTGGTTTGCAAAACCCCTGCGGCGGCAATTGCGATGGCTGCCTGGCGTTGGCTGGCGCATCGCTGCGGCCGCGCTAGCGCACGCAAGCTCGCGCGCAGAGCAGCCAACTAGTCTACTGCGACCGACGCGGCCGCGGTGGCGCTGCCCGCTGGGGACTTCCCCTGGCGTCTCGCACGCCGCGCTGTCGCGCGGGCATTGCACTGCGAGTCGGTGACTCGGGCGGGTGCGGTATGATGGCGACGTCGACAACGGCTGACACGATGAGAATGGTAGCGATGCTGGCGACGATGATGGCAACGACGGCGGCAAAGCCAATGACGGCACCGGTGCTGATCACGTCGATGACGGTGATGGCGTCCACGTGTCAATGATAGAAGGATGTCGACAGGAGCTCGCGACCGACGGGCGCGAGTGGCCCGCATAGTCTCTTTTGACAGGGATCGTGCCCACCCCCAGCAAGCGCGCAAGGGCGTTCCTTGTCACTGCTACTAGGGGTAAATTTTCTGACATGACGATCGCAGTGGAACGAATAGAAGGATGAAAGGCGAGTACCTTTTCCAGTCAGTGTGCGCTCGGCTTGAGCCTTGAGCCGGAGCGGTTGCAGTAGCAGCTGGCGCGCGCGTGCCAGACGTAGCTGGATTGCCAACCGGCGATAGACAATATGTTATTACATTGACTAAAAAAGGTAGCTGCGGACAGCACAAATGCATGCATCATCGATAGATCGGCGATGGCTTTGGCAATAAAGTCTACAAACAGTTCTGCTTGTGTGACACGCTATTCACATGGCTTGGGTCCTGGAGCCGATCGAAAGGAAGCCCTCCCGACAGGTCTCCGGACGTCTACACCCCGTGAAGGGGTCGAGAGCCCAGGGAAAGAAGAAACGACCCAAGCAGGGACGGGGTCGAGAGCTCCCGGGGCGTCGCGCCTCCAGCGCGCGTATGCCGAAACAGTTTATCAGAACTATAATACACACCATGCCTCAAGATGCTACGCACATGATTCTGCATTGCTAATCTGCTCACTGATCCGGGTGCGACGCGCATGACCACTCAGAAACGTGGGGTTCAAAGGATTCACGTGCTCCCCCCATCCGCGGCTCCGGCGGCCGCAGCCGTGGACTGTCTCTGTGAGTCGTCCTGCGCCTTCTGTGCCTTCGCAGCCCGGCGGTCGTTCGCTCCAGGCCGGCATCGTTTCTTGCCGCGCCTGCGCTTCTTGGCTGGCTCCTCCTCGTCGCTCTCCGGGATGGCGGCCGTGACCTGCTGGTCGTCCTTGACCTCTGAGGTCTGCTCCTGGAGAACACCACCCAGAACAGCCCGCAGCGTGTCGTTGTCGAGGAGGTTGGCCTTCACGAACATGGCGTACCAATCCTTCTTGCACTCGCCGTACTTGTTGTGCAACTCTGGCAACCTGTCAAAATTGTCCGGCGAATACTTCGCGTGCAGCAATTTGAAAATATCCCCCCACAGCGGATCGTCGTTCTCAAGGTTCGGACACATCATGGGGTACTCAATCACTGCTGTCTTGAGAGACATGGTCTGGTCAGGCGGAGGCTTGTCACTCCAAGACTCGATGACCTTCCGGGTGGTCGCAGAGTCGTACACAGAGCGTCTCCCCGTTCGAGTGGCGCCTGCGCTTGGTCCCAACGAAGCAGAGGAAGCGGCATCACGACGTCCATCGGAAGGTTGCCCTCCCGACGGGAGCCTATCGGAAGGTCGCCCTCCCGACTGGCTTCCCGACGCCGAAACCTGTCTCCACGGATCTGGGTCGTCGCCTGCGATGTCTCCACGGTTCCAAGGTCCAGGAGAGACGGAGGTGCGATGGTGGTCCTGCTTCACCGCGCCCTGCCCTGAGCCTTGGTGCTCAGCCCGTCGCGCTCCTGAGTCTGGCAGTTCGACATTTCTCTCCGGAAAAACACCGTCCATGGCGTCGAGAAGCACCTGGATGACCGCGTTCGCGGCGAGCTTCGTCAAGCAGTCCGCGATCATGCCAGATGTTGGACAGTGCAGAAGCTCTGCTGTTCCACGTTCGTGTTCTTCGTGAAGCCGGTGTCCACGCACGGCAAAATAACGCGTCCTCCAATTGGCGCCGCACATGGCTATGCTCAGAGCAGCCCGGTTGTCTATGAGAACCGTCACTTTGGGGATCTTGGCGCCGAGGTTAGAGAGAAGATGCCTCAGACCCTCCACTATTTGCCACCCCAGCGTCGCACTGTAGAGCTCTGCCTCTGCTGTCGATAGAGTAGAAACCGACTGTCTGGAAGAGCGCCATGCCACGATGCTGCCAGCCCATACCACGACCAATCCACTCTGAGAGCGGGTGTCAGCACCGGCGTACCCGGCATCTGTCCACACTTCCAAGCACTCTTCGTTGCCTGCCCTCGTCAAAAGGATCCCTTTGGACGCAGTGCCCTTCAGGTACCTGAGTATCTTCTGGGCGAGTTCCATACTCCAAGACGAGAATTTTGAGCACGAAGATGCCAATAACGAGGTGTAGTATGATATGTCTGGGCGCGTTCTGGTGGCAAGCCAGTTGTATTCCCCACTATATGCTTGTAGCTGCCGGAGAGCAGGCAAAGCAGGTTCGTCTGGTTCTGCTGGCAGCGGCCCCATTTGGACGCATTTGATGGCATTACAGTTTTCCATGCCGTACTTCTTCAAAAGACTGTCCACGAAGCGTTCCTGGTGAAGCTTGATATCACCATTGTGCAGAAGAGTGATGTCAATGCCCAAGAAGGTCAGAGGCCTGGTTACCTCCAGCACGGCCTCCTTGGCGAGAGTCCACATCGATTCCATTGCGGCCAGGAGAGCAGATCTTGTAGATCCCATCTCTGTCACCAAGAGTAAATCATCGACGTAAACGACCAATACACCCAAAACCTGTTTCGAAGTGTCTGTGGCGTCCTTGATGTACCACACTTGCGAATCAGCACTGCACTGTTCAAGGTAATGCGATTTATTGTTCCCAGAAGCCGGGCCTGTCCACCGCAAGTCGCGGAGCTTCTTGTCTCGCTCCTCTGCCCATAGCTTCGGTGACTCGCGCAAACCGTACACAGCCCTGTCCAAGGTCCAATTGATGCCGGCCTCCACGAGTCCCCAGCGCACCCACTGAGCCGGAGGGGCAACTACGACGAGCTTGTCTTTGGGCATGTACGCGTTGAGGAAGGCGCCCTTGACGTCGTGCTTGCTCACGGTCCAGCCACGCATTGCGCCGAGCTTCAGCGCAGCGAGCAACGAGGATGGTTCGGCCTGCGCGGTCCAGGACTGCAGCTTGGGGTCCGGCTCGGCGAAGTTACCGCACACGCAGGCTCGGCATTTGTACTTCTCGTCGCTCTTGGACCACACGCACGTCATCGGCAGCGGCCGCCCATGCGCGCGGAGCTCGTCAGGGGTCGTCTTGTGGAAAACCCCCATGCCGAAGAAGTTGCCGGTCAACTCCGCCTCCGCCGCGAGCTTCCAGTTCATCAGCTCAGCCCCGACGCTCTTCGCGACCTCCTGGGTCGGCACGATCCGCTTCTCCGGCTCCTTGTCGATCAGTTGCTGCAGCGCCTCCTTGTGCAGGAGATCGACATGGCCTTCTGCCGCCTGAACAGCAGCTCCGGCGTAGTCGAAGCAGACGGGATAGTAGTGTCCTTGCTGACGTTGCCGTTTGAAGCGTCTTCGTTCCTTCTGCTTGCGCCTCCGTCGCAGCGCAGGCGCCTCAGGGCAAGGTTCGTCCACGTCTGCGTCAGCGTCACCACGTTCATCTTGAAGTGCTCCGGCATTACAATCATGGTCATCAGCGGCTTGACCCGGATGATCAGCGTGATCCACAAGAGACATATCGGGAACAACAGCTCCTCCGTGCACGGCCCACTCGTCATCGAGGTCCAACTCCGTGTCTTCATCGTCGGAAGTGCGGCCCAAAGTGTCCTCTGTGCCAGGGACTTCTGTGTCGCCAACATGCGAGAGGTCTTGTTCAGCTGAACCCCAGGTGGCCGCTTCGGATAGAGCAAGGCATGCATGGGGGTACTCCAAGAAGGCATTCAAGGACGTTGCCCCGTACGTGCGCCGAGTCTCGCCAGAGCTTGCCGCCACCTTCGCGGCGACCGGCGGCGGCCCACCGTGATCCTCTCGAGGATGGTTCGCGGGCTCGTCGTCCGCCTCGTCGGCCGGCGGAGGTCCTTCAGCAGGTACGTCGACTACGGGCCCTTGTGCTGCTGGCGGAGGCGGGGGTGCCTTGAGACACTCCCCCCAAACCAGACTATGGGGTTCCAGTTGCCGCCTCTTGCGGCGAATTGCCACGCAAGCTGGGCAAGTTGCTGTTTCTCGCGTAGCTGCTCCGTCTGGTAAGAACGAAGGAACCACCGCTCCGGCGTCGTACTTCTCTGGCTCCGGAAGAGGCAGTGGAGCGCCAGGCGGATCCCAGTTGCTCATGTTGATCTTGACCCAATTGAGCTCTTCCTCGTTCAAACCCTGGGGCTGCAAGTTGGTCTTGACCTTCACCGCGCCTCGCTGGTACGTCCACATCCCGTTCGGGACAGTGCTGCTGGGGCCGAACACCGTTGCTGGCTCTGCGCGTGGCAGAAAGGCGTTTCTCGGAGGAGGGTCGTGCACCAACATCGCCCTGGTACCGAAAGGTATCCGAGGGTACTCTCCCAGTCCAGCGTCTGCTCTGCACAACTGAGCTGCTGCAAGTGTCGCTACTCCCCACCAGGTGGTCGGAAGTCTGCTGCCGCTCAAGAGGTACCGGGCCCTGCGCTTCAAGATGCCCACGGCCGACTCGGCAGAGGCATTCCCGTTAGGGTCGTAGCCTGCTGTCGATGTTTTGTGGATGCCGTGGTAGGAGCAGAAGTTGCTGAGCTCCTCGTTCATGAACTCGGACCCCTGGTCACTGTGCAAGCGGAACACGATCTCGGTCGGGAAGTTGGCGTGGTCATTGTTGACCTGGGCGAGCAGATGTTGCACTGCCTTCGGGGCCTCGCTCTTCGCGCCCAGAAGGGCGACGTAGATCAGAGCCGGTCGCGGCGACGTCTGCCCGGCAGTTCCGCCCGCCTGCTCCTGGCCTCCGTCTGGCCCAGAAGTCTGCACAGCCACGTCACAAGAAGATGCTGTCTCATCTGGCCTCACTGTTAAGACCAAGAAATAATGACACGGATCTTTTGTAATCTGTCCTCCTGGCCGGGGCGTTGGCTCATGAGGGCCACTCAGGTCCACAGTACATACGCCCAGAGACACGTTCGACCGGCGATGGTGCTGTCGACGCCGTAGTGCGGCACCCTGCCATAGAGCACTGTCGGCAGAATACTTCTGATGTTGCCACGGTTTGTCCCGGAGCTCGCCCCCCACCAGGTCTTGCAACTCCCGGCGCTGATGGGAAGACTGAGGTAGAGGCGGCCCGGCTACGGCCTCCTCGCTGTCAGGGGACTCTCCGGCTCCCGTTCCCACCGTGCCAGTGCACGCCACAGAAGTAGCTGGTATGCCCACAGCCTGCTGCACTGCGGCCCCGAGAGAATCCACCCTCGCAGCCATCGTGGCCAACATGGCTAGCATGTGCGCCTGCATGGGTTCACAACTCTGCGCTGCCGGGTTGACTCGTTCTGAACGCTCGTCGAAAGGAAACCCTCCCGACACGTTGCCTGAGCAAACACGGCTACGGAACCAATCGAAAGGCGCCCCTCCCGACGGATCCTTTTCACATCCCATACCACGTGTCTGAATCGAGCTATGGTGTCTATCGAAAGGAAGCCCTCCCGACGGATCACCACGGCGACTATCGAAAGGTAACCCTCCCGACCGATCACCCGCGTACCCCAACCCATGTGTTTGTATAGTATGTGATAACGGTGATGACTGTGAGCATGATGCAGATGAAGCCACTTGAACCACTGAGCTCTTTCTCAACACTGGATGCTCTTGTAACCAAGGACCCATGATCATATTCCACTGAACACCGAAGTCTTTGTCCACTGCAATCCGGTGTAAGTCACCAAGCACGCACTCGATCCTCGAAGCCTTACTCAAACCAGCCAGTTTTGAAAGAGAAGGTGTGTACCTCCCCCCTTCAGCTGGATCAGGCCCGGCTGGACAGTCCAAGAGGATTCGCCGGCACTCTTCCTTGGGGTACTGTGCCGCAGATGCAGCGCGACCGGCCCCTCGGAGGTGGAGGTGATCGTGGCCGCCACGGCACTGCACGCTCAAGTTCGGTAGCTCGTGAGAGCCTTGGAAGTGTGACCTTTTCCGAATGAACTGCCCTTCGAGTTGTCCACCACAAGCGCATTGGTCCAGCAATGCCATGTGAAACGGCATCGTCCGTAGAGGCTCGAGCGGGCTCTTGGTGAAGATGTCGGAATGCGCGCTGTTCTCGATGATGTAACGTCTACCCATCAGTAACTGCAGGAAACAACACACCGCTAAGAACCTCAAGCACGGTGTCTCGGATCGCCTCTTGGTCTCCAGAGTGTCTGCTGGTAGGTTTCTGGTGTGGTTTCCCCACGGAGCGCAATTCGGCGAAGCGAAAAGAGTCTCCACGCCGGGGGATATGATCGCGTCCACGATGGTCGTCTGGTCGTCCGCCCTCCCTGTGTTCCAACCATATCGGTAGTCGACTGGTGGTAAGTGGGGAACGTCAGTGTTCCGAGCGTGGTCGCTCAGCGCCGATGACCCACTGCAGTGCTCCCACACACGGGCCATGCCAGTAGAACCCCCCTTGGACTGCACCGCGTCGTCTCCCAGCTCCTCAAAGCGAGCAGGGGTGATGATGGCGTCGGCGTCGTCGTTGTAGTACAGATCCGGCAAGTTGCGGTACTTGGACTGGATGTTCTGCACACCCTTCTTGCCGAAGTCGTCCACGAGGTGCTTGAGCTGCGACCTCAGCTGCTTCTGGTCCGCTGCCGTCCTGGAGGCTCTGGCGGCTGTCGGGGTCTCTGCCTGGCGCCCGCTGCGGCCGGGCTGAAGGGTGTCTGGTAAATCGTTCAAGACGAGGTTCAAGTCGCTCTTGAGGATGTACGGTAGAGAACCCCACGTTTGGATCTTGAAGACCCTGCCCTTCGGCGTCCGCAAGACGTGCTGGTCGCCCCGCTCAATCGTGCAGCCGCGTTCCCACAGGAACCCTTCTGGGAAGAGATCAATGTTGTCACTGTTATCCTCCCAAGGTACGAAACATCGCGGTACGCCCTTGCGCCCGGTATCCCGTCGGCACTTGCACTGGCCGTGCGCCAGACTGAGGGTATGCGGGTACTCTGCGTCAGAGACGGTGCCCTTCTGGTGAATCAGGTGCACGTTCGCCCAGCTGTCCAAACCAACGGCCTGCCTCGGAAACCTCGCGGTTGTCGTAGCCGAAGAGGCCCTCAGAGACTCTCCGTCGAAGGCCGCCTTGGCCTGGGCGCTGGTCGCCGGCGGTGCGCCTGCAGGTTGTTCAGCAGAAATGGCTGCGTTCGCCTTGCCCTTGTCCTTGTCTTTGTCTTTACCTTTTCCTCCTTTTGGGTGTCCTTTGCCTCGTCCTTTGGCTCCTGCTTTCCCTGCGGCTGCTGCTTGCTCCTTTCTCTTGCGGTACTCCTCCCAGGCGGCTTCACGGTTAGGGTCGGCTCCGCCTCCCGGCGCCTTGCAGTCTTTCCCCCTGTGGTCCTTGGCGCCGCAAGTAATGCAGCGGTCCTCCGTGACAGGGAAGCCGGGGTGGGCAAAATGACAACTAATGCCGCGCTGGCAGACGCCACGCTCTGTCCAGGACCTGCAGGGGCTGGCCCAGCTAGAAGTCGTGGAAGAGCAGCGAACGGCAGCGGCATTCCCAGTAGTCGGTGCTTGTTGCGTCGGTTGCGCCGCTGTTTGCCGGAGAGCGGCGGCACGTTTCTTTTCCGTCTCCTTGATCTGGTGCTGGCGCGCCTTCTGGTTGTCAGTGAGAGGTAGTCCGGTGTTCAAACCAACGCCCCCATGAAGAACCAACGCTCCCAGCTCCGCCTCGGCGAAAGCAGCGACGTGTTCTATCGCCTGCAGGGTAATCACGTGAGGCAGACCAAATTGATTGCGAAGATTAACCCATCTATGGTGGAGCTGCGGTTCGGCTTTGTCGAATACAGCACAAAAGATAGATTCCATCGCTCTGTAAGCCAGAAGAAGATCTGGAGGGTAGCAGCCCAGCTCGGCACACCTCCGGAGATTCTCCTTCCACTTCAAAAGCTCCACCTGGGCCGCGCGCGGCTGTGAGCACACGCTCGGGTTCAGCACTGAGTTGATCAGATGAACCTTCTCGTCCGCACCGCCAGGGGAGAAAGTCTTCATCACGTAGAAGAGAAGAACGTGTGATGGGTCCACCTTGCCTTGGCGGGCCCTCAAGTTTACCCAATCGCGGATGTCCTTCGGCAGCGCGTCGAATATGCGTGGCCTGATCCACGCTTCTACCTGCAACCATGCCTCCGGCATTGGAGCAGTAGGGAGAACCGCCTCCCGCTGGTGAATCGGCATCTTAAGAAACATCTTATATGCCTTCTCGGCCTCGCGCTGGCAACACTTCCACCACTGGATCAAGTGCGGGCCAGCCGGGTTTATGGCCTGGTCGACAGAAATCCGCCAACTCAGAAGTCTACCTGCTCTGGAAGAAGAATCGCCCATCTCTAGCTTGGGAAACTCTGGCACGAACACCTGAATAGACTTCATCAACATATTCAGCTCCGCCGGGCTCAAAGACTGCGGGGGCGCATCCCCGTCAAGAAGCTCAGGTGGAGTCGGCGCCAGTCCTCCGAGTGCTCCCAGAGGCGGCGCTCCACAACTCGCGCTCTGCGGCTGCCGTGCAGATGGGCCCTCTGCCCCGGCTGCTGCGTGGCCCCCCAGGGACCGCGCGGGCTGTGCACCTCCCAGGAAAGAA